CTAGATGCACATAGTGAAACAGCAACCTCAAAGCTGGATGGGGCTGAGCCGTGTGACCAGGTGAGAGTTTGCCTGTGGCACAGCTATTCCATGAAATCAGCTCCAGGGCTCGGCAGACATGTCTTGGTTTTGTCCCATGTAAATTTTGTGTGGAGTTGGGGTTGGATTTCTGCTGCACAGCCATGTAGCTCTCCTTGCTGCTGCAGGAGCACCTCACAGTCCCCTCGGGGGGGCGGGGACAGTTTGCATTGCTTAAATCTGCTTGTGTGAAAAGAACTGTTTTGTGCTGAGCTAATCCCCTGAACATGCTCTCACTGATGAGTGAGGCCCCTCTGGTTGGGGATTCACCTCTGCTGAAGATGGGGCCTGTCTTCTGCTGCCCTGCCTAGAGAACAAGTACCTAATTTTTGAACGGCTGTGGTTGAGCAAGGTGAATTCCTACTTGTCTGTCACTTCACTCTTTGCTCCTCCATACTGAGTTAAGACTCACAAACATTAGCTCTAGTCTCTGGCTGAGACATGAGTGAACATCCCCGAAATGTAAGTTTAATTTGAGTTCTTAAGCAAAAATGCAGAGGGGCTTCCTCTGCCTCAGTTCCTGCTTCCTGGCAGACACTCCCTCTGTCAGTGCCATCCCTGGTTGTGCGTGGGGCTGCTGAGAGACGAGCCAGCTGTCAGTTCTTTGCTTAGACATGGTGCTCTGTATCTTGTAATAATAACCTCTCGCTCTTTTCAGCTTGCAGTGCAGGAAGAGCTGCCCTTTGGCCAGGGGAACTAGGGGTTTGTTGTTGTTTAGTTTTGTGGTGGTGGTTTTTTAATCATCCACTTGCTGACATTCCAGTTCTGTGTCAACTCTGAGAGCTAATAAAGACCAGGGCAGCTAATGACCTGAATGTGCACTATTCACACCCTCTCTCAATTTATTTATACACATTGTAGGCACCTCATTCTCTTGGAGAGTCCTCAGTGCCTGAAGTCTTAGTCAAATCAGTGGAAGACTCTTGCACCTCCTTTATCCACTCTGAGCAACCAGCAGAAATGAGGCAAGATGATCCTGATCAGACAGAGAGGTTTTCCAGCAAGGCCCAACAAGGTGAAGCTGTATATCCTGCTGTCCTGCTCATGACAGTGCCGTTTGTGCCACAACAGTACAGTTAGATTTGTCTGTCCTTGTGCTAGGAGTTCTGCAGTCCCTCTTGGGTTATCCTGGGGCTGGTGCTGCTAGAACAGATGGAAATGTTGGTGTTTCTGTGGGCTGCAGATGCAACAGGAATAAGTGGTGGATGCAATGCATTGGTTTGACCTTTGGGCAGCAAAATGGATTTCTAATTGTTTAATGGGAGCAAATGAATTGAGGGTTAGTTCTCTTGTTGTTGGGTTTCACTGTCTTTTCTAGATTTTCTGCTGCTTTCATGCAGAATTCTCTGTTTCTCGTTCCATACTGTGTTCATTTCATACTGAGTCTCTCAACCATAAGGGACTAAAGCATTTTTTAAACCCTGTGAGGTCCCTGTGTGGGTGTCCTCCATCTTTCAAATGGTGAAAGAATTTGCAATACCCATACAAGAGTTGCTTGATTTACAAGGTGGGTTAAGTGATTTGCCAAAGGCAGTGGATGTGCGTGCCTTGGAACAGAGCTGTCTGCCTTCTCTCTGAGGTGGAAGCCCAGTTCTCCAGGCAGGAGCTACTGAGTTCACATCTGATTTCCCACCTCTGGGGAAATGGAGGTGAGCAGTGGGAGGAGAGGGAGACAGGCCCTTGGATTATTTCTTGCCAGGCTCATCAAGTAGGTGTACAGTAGAACATCCTCTTGCCATGACCTGGTAAAGCCCAGGTAAAAGAGATTTCAGTCTAAACTGAAGTTCTTGGATTTGGCAGTGTAGATATGCTCTTTCTTTTTTTGTGTCCCTCCTTATGCAGATGAAGAGAAACTGAGGAGCAAAGAGCTTCCTAAGTGTCTCGGCATAGGGCTCTGCAGTGCCAGTGGGCTGTGTGACCAGGTGCCACCTCAGAAGCTCTATTTCTCCCCTACCACCCTCTCTGCAGTGCTGGCAGCTGCACAGTTAGCCACCCCCCATGAGTACTTCCAGTGGCTTCCCAGCCTGAGGAAGAAGGTGTGAGAAGAGAGGAGAAGCTGAGGCTGCTGGGATAGTCAGGGGGTTCCCTGTCTGACCATGCTGTTGTTTTCTTTGTTCAGAAGCATTTAATCCCTTGAAAAATGTGGATTCTGATGTCTCAGGTGTGCTCAACATGTGTGATAAATGCTAATTTTGCTTTCAGGAAAATAGTTTGGTTTTGTTTATCCAGTGGTGTGTATTGCTCTTTAACATAATGGTTCAGGAGAACATCCAAGTGTCACATTGTGTGATACATCCTTCTAAGTTTAGGAGAGGGAAATTGGCTGCATATCCCTCCCCTCTTCAGAGTTTGACATCCTGTGGGGATGTGGTTTTGTTTTTTTTACACAGTGGGTACTCTACATGTTCCTTGCTGTGAGGAGAGGTGAGGAAACCTTCCCCAAGAAGAACATGCTCTGATTTGTTTGTGTATTAGGATATTGTGTTAGGAATCTCATCTTACAGATATGGAATAAAATCTGTAAAGAATCCAGTTTGAAGCATGATGTTGGCTGTGTTTATGTAGCTCCTTGCCTGTGGCAAGTAATCCTCATGGCTGTGAGTTTGTTAATGCAGAGAGAAGCTGTGAAAACAGAAGTGCCCTGGTGAGGAATGCTGGCACTCAGCTGGTTTGCTGGGGCCTAGACTGTTCCTCAGGGCTTCAAGGGCTTGATTGCACTAGATGATCTTTAAAACTGTCTCCTAATCCAAACCATTCTATGATTCTCTCACTATTTGGGTTTAATTGCAGCATTATGGGGTGGTTTGGGTTGTGGAAGTGCTAAAACAAGAAAATCTGGGGCTGGTTAGTAAATGAATGCATGGAAAGCTAATGAAGGAGATGGAAGCAGAATGGTGAGGACCAGATGCTGTCCAACCCTGCAGGGAGCTTCAGAGGTTGCCTGACTTCTCTGGTCCCGTGTGTGAGCCAAGGGGCTCATTGCACATGTTTGTCATCTAACAACTGTAACAGAGCTGAGTTGGCTCGGAGCTGCACAGCCCGCTGTGCTTTCAGGGAGGTGAGAACTGGGGTAGGGTGCTCCCCTGTCCCTCCACGGGCTGCAGCAGGGGCCGGAGCCTGCAGGAGCTGTCGCTCTGTCCCCACTGCTGCTGGGTCACTGCTAGGTGGCAGCCGAGGCCAGTGCTCAGCGGCTCCTCTCCCTGCAGCCTGAACTCCACTCGGGGCGTCTGGGAGCATGAGGGAGGTGAGGAGCTGAAGAAGACCCTGCTGAGTGGGCAGCGTTCCCATTCCTGGCTGGGGCTGCCTCTGTCCCCACTCCTGGGGGGCCTGGTGGGTCCCCAGGCTGGGAGTGTAACTGGGAGCTTTGGGAATGTGTCCCACTGCTGCTCAGTGAGGGCTGTCCAGGGAAACTGGGGATGGGGAGATGCTGTGGGGGACTGGAAGGGGCTGTGTGGGCAGGGGGAGCTTACATGTGTGCAGAGAGGGAGCAGGGAGGGAAGCAGCAGTGTTAAGCAGTATCGAGGCATCCCCTGTGAATTGGGAGCTCCTGAATCTGCCAGTTTGGGGAGGGAGAGAACATATTCTGGGCTATTGCTCCTGCACATCATCCTCTTTGCATGTTGTCCCTGAGTGTCTGTTA